TGCAACCCCCAGACTCCTCCAAAACCTCTTGATAAGGACAAGGATGCCCCACGTGGAGTAGGGACCCGTGGAGGTCAAGTGGAGGGAACATTCTTTGCTGAAACTGTAGCGAGTTCTTGGCTTCCCTATAAGACCTCAGGATCCTCCCAGCCCTCACCTGGAAGTGGGGACAGCCATCTCTGACGCCGCTATAGGGGTCCCAGGCGGTAAATGGAGTACAACTGGGGCATCTTGTGCCCACCCCTTCATTTCTCACCCTTGAGGCAACTGCCTACCCACCGGGTACCCCTTTCAGGTCTGCCCCGAAAGTACAGGTGAGACGGATCCGCAGGAAAGGCGCCGGCGCCCCCTGCTGGTCGTGCTCTTCCACAGCAGGGCTCAGGTTCCGGGTGAAAGAACCAGGTGTTTGCAGCCGCTTCCTTCTCCACACTGTAAAGCGGGGTACAGCATCTCATCACTAAGTGAAAATGAGATATCCTGTCAGTTGGCTGATTGTTCTGTACACACATCCCCAAGAAATCGTGTGACAGATATGCTTATCAAATTGACTTTCTTTTTAAGATGACATGGCTAATAGGAAAGAGCAATGGAGTTCTAAAAATTGGCGTAATTGTCCAAATGCTAAAACTTCCCAGCTACGTGGGCGTGATCAAAAGCTTCCCTCACTTCACACCAAGTAACAATGCTCACCTGACCAGGTGGACTCTGAGCCGGGACTTCACAGACACAGATAGAGACGGATACTGGAGGGGCTCTGTTAACACTGGGGTAACACCACTGTAAGGTGGGAGCAGGCGTTCTTCCCATGGATTGCAGGACTGCTGTTTGTGGTGGGGAGACAAAGGAGTCTGATCTGACCCCCAGGCGAGGGCAACTAGGAGGACACCGGTGGTATTTGGTTCAGCGGTTTGGGAGGCCTTGTGGGAGGGCGCCTCTCCTAACACACACCCTGCTGCCAGGGGGGAAGGTGGTCGCCTGGATGCCCAGCTCCACAGCTCTTGCCCGCCGACTCTGCCTCACCGAGAGCCACGACACCCAAAGAACATGCATTCAAATCCTGGTTTCACGGGTTCAGGGACGAGCTCCAGCTGTCAGATGTGCAAGCTCCTCCTATATAAAGTCACAACAGGTAAGTAAGTGTCTTAGCTCAGATTGCTATAATAAAATACCACAAACTGGGTGGCTTCTCAACACCAGACATTTATCTCTCACGGTTCTGGAGGCTGGAAGTCCAAGATCAGGGAGCCAGCATGGTCAGGTTCTGGTGAGGGCTCTCTTCTGAGCTGCAGGCTGCCTACTTATCCTTGTATCCTCACATGGGGGAAAGAGCCGAGTCTCTCTGGCCTCTTCTCACCAGGGCACTAATCCCATTCATGAGGACCCCACCATCATGATCTAATTACCTCCCAAAGGCCCCACCTCCAAATATCATCACATTGGGGTTAAGGTTTCAACATGTGCATTTGGGGAGGGACACGTGTTCAGTTCATTACAGTTAGAGACTGTCCTGATGGTTTGTGTGTCCAGGGCGTCATCCCCTCGGTGAAGACCCATATGGGAAGGCAAATCAATGTCAGGTTTCCTGATGAGCACAGAATCATCTGTGGGGAAGTGAGTCAGGTGATCTTAACAGCTAATGGCTTTGAGCTGCCGCCACCTTGGGGATATACCTGCCAAGGAAACCAGAACCCACTGGTGTTGACACCCTCAACTCAACAGTGATGGATAAACATTGGAAATTTACCTTCTCTGGTGGCTTTAGCTAAGTTCATCTTCCTTACCCTGACTTTCTTTTTCCTTTCCTTCAAATGTTTTTATGATGAAATATCTCATGCATGTAAAAAAAAAAAGTACAAAGGAAAATACAATGAATGCCTCTGTACTGATCTCTTTGCTTAATACAACACGTCAGACAGAGCATATGCTCAGCCATTGGTCTCCACTCCAGCCCACCCCTTCCTGCTACTCAGAAATTGGCGTGTGTTCTTTCTCCACGTTTGTAATTTTACTACATATGAGTTATCCCCCAAATAATATCAGGAATTGTTTTGCCTGTTTGTAAACATTACATTAATAATATCATACCAATTGTACCCTATGCTACTTAATTTTTCATTCAATGTTGTTTTGGGGGAACTATCCATGTTGCTACATGTGGTTCTGGTTCATTCATTTTTCATTCCTGTAAAATATTCCATTGTAAGAAGTCCATATTTTATCTATCCATACTCCTAATTGACAGACATTTCGGCTATTTTCTATTTTTACAACAACAAGCAATGCTGCCGTGAACATTCCTGAACACATATGTGTGAGGTTGTCTCTGGAGCACACGCCAAGGAATGAAATTCCTAGGTCTTAAGGAATGTGTGCGTAGTCAATATTGCCAATTGTTCTCCAACCTGGTTTACCAACTTACTCTACCACCAGCGATGTACGTGGGCTCCCTTGCTTCCACATCTTGACAGCCCTTACCTAAATGATGAATGGGAAATGGTATTTCATTATTGTTTTAATTTGTCTTTCCCTTATTATATCCCTGAGACCTTAATACTTGTGTATTGTGTACTTTCTTTCCTCTTCTGTGAATTAATTGCCTTCATATTCGGATAATAAATTTTCCCTGCTGCCTACAGTGGTTAAATCAGGATGCTTGATTACTCGTGGGTAAAAGCCGCCGGTTGAAATGGTCATCCCTGAGGCTGCAGGGCTAAGAGATGCTCCATCTTCAGACTATTCCTTGGAAGCCATGAGCTCAGTCAGACTCTGCTGACTTTTCCAAGCTCTGATAGTGCCCTGAGTCCACCCAAACACCACTATGGCCCCAATCAATTACTTTCAGTTATTATGGCTCCTTTTATCTCCTTTGAAGAGCCCAAAACATGCGAGCTGAGGCCCCAGAACTATACTGATGTGCTCAGAATAGGGATAAAATTAATGCAAACCAAAATGGAGAAACCAACATCTTGCACAGTCACTATGGAGTCAGCATAAATCACTCCAAAGAGCAATTTGTCAATGAGTTCAAAGACTCAGTTATGAAGATGCTCACAATGGTGGTGTTCATAGTAGCAAAAATAAAAAACTAAAAATAAAACAAACAAAAAAAAACACCTAAATCTTTCTAAATGTCCAACATCACAGTTTGACTAAATAAGAATTGTAAATCCTTTCACGGAATGTATGTTAAAGCCACCCAAATCACATTGCAAAAGAAGACACAAAGTCAAAGAATGTTGTTCGGGGTCTTAAATTGGGGTCTGGGACTCTAGAGGAGATGCTTCTCAAAGGCAGTTGACATCACCTGAGATGATTATTACAGAGCAGACTCCTGGGCCCCACTCCAGACCGACTGAATCTGAACCTCCAACTGGGAGGGTAGGAATCTTAACAAGCTCCCCCGATCATTCCTATGCATACTAAACAGTGAGAATCAAATGCCTTGGGGACTCAAAAATAGGTAAGGAGCACTCTGGCATATTCAGAGAAAAAAAGCAAGTTACATACAAATTCAGAATATTAAAAAAATGTATCACATTTGTGTGTGTGTACTAATAGCTACCTAGGTATCAAAAATTGACAGTGATTACCTCTAAATCACAGTTTCTCAACCTCAGCACCATTGACATTTTGGATCAGATGATTCTGGATGATTTGGGGTGGGGCTGTCCTGTGCATGGCAGGAAGTTCAGCAGCATTCCTGGTCTCTACCCACTAGTTACCAGTAACACCCGCTCCTGGTAACAATCAAAAATGTCTGCAGACATTGCCAAATGTCCCAGGTTGCCAAAGATCTCCAGGTTGAGAACACATACTCTAGATGGAAAGTATTATAGGTGACGTTTTCCTTTGCTTTTAGTACATATGCCCATTTTGTAGTTTTTTCTAAAATGAACATATTTGAATCATGTAAAATAAACTCAGTGTTTCCTAATGTCCGATTGCCTGTGCTGCCAAAAAAAAAAAAAAAACACTCAGATAAAAAGATATTCACATCAATATTTACAGCAAGTACACTAATTTTATTGTGATTTAAAAATAGCTATGGAAAAACATATACAAAGGCCTCCCAAATGTCAACATTCCCTAGATGCCTACAATAGAAACCAACAATAGGAAACGAAGTTAATTATGGTACACTCACTTCATAGACAGCATTTTAATACAGCATTCAAATGATATTTATAAAGAGTTTATAACAATGTGAGGGAAGAGTTTATGCCATATTATTAAGTGGGAAAAGTAATTGGATACAAAATTGACTATGTCACATCATCACTGGTAGATATAGTAGTAACAATAAAGAGAGTTCTAAATCCTACGCATCAACAAAGCTAAAAGAAACACACCAAGATGTTAAAAAGTAATTAATTGAACAGTGGCATAATAGGGGACTTTTTCTTCTCTAATCTTCTGAAATGTTAGAGAATTTTATAATTTTTATAATAAACATGTATTTATAGTGACAGTGAGAACAGTACAATTTACTTTAAAAAAATACTTCAGGATGATCACAAATAAAAATGTGCCAAAATTTCAGATAAGAAATATGTATTTCTATGGATCTATGCACATATTTCCATTCAGATGATAAAAGTAACTTTGTTCAAAAATTCAACTTACCCAGAAACTACAATATAAACTAAATGTTAGTGTCTGTGCCTTCGTCAGCTCTGAGAAGGATAAAATTTAAGAGTGATTACTATGCAGATGGTCAGAAAAAAAGTTGTATGTAGTCACATGATAAATTACAGACAGAAAATGCTTTTTTATGAAAAACAAATTGCATAATTTTTTTTTTCCAACCTAGGATCACATTCTTCTAAAACATTCTTCATTTGGAAGGAGATAAAATAATTTGGATTTGATTTTAGATTTCGGCCACCCAGTGGATTTGGATCTAACTTGCTTATGTTCATCAAAGGTGAAGCACAGTTCCAGCCCACAGGAGACACAATCACTGCGGACAAACAGCCGCCCTTCTCATGTGTCAGGCAATGTTTGCCCAACCTGGCCATTTCCAGGTGGTTCTAATGAACTCTCTTGTCAGCTCTCTCCTCAGTCCATGTGGACACAGACTATATCTTACAATAAACCTCAAAGAGGGAAGCAGCTGCATGCATTCGGTAGAAAATAGAAAAGGGCATTGCCAGGTTGACCACAATTATCCAGGGTTCAAAGCCAAAGACAATTTCCTCCAATCCGTTGTCATACTCGGGGCGGCAGCCAAAGGCAGGAGGTATCCAAAGCTGCAAGAGAAGGGGAAACTGTCTGTCATGGTGGGCAGCCTCCAGCCACCTCAGAGGCCCCGCTCAAATCCCAGGCACCCCGGAGCTGACCCAGACTCGCCAAGACTGGGTCACACCTGTCAAGTGACAAGGAGACTCTCAAGACATTCTCATCTCCATGGAAACCACCAACCCCATTGAGCCCACCACGTCCTTCCCTCTTCCCACCCACACCTCCCTGCAATCGGTCCTGAATGAATGTTTTTCGAACTGACCCTCCCTCTGCCACTGCCCCCAAGCCTGCTCCTCCTCCAGAGTCCCCCATCTCCAAAAACAGCATCTCCATCTACCCTGGAACTCAAGTCACAAACTGAGGACTCCGTGCTTGACATCTCACTCCCTCCACACGCTACGACATGAACAACCTTGAGGACACTGTGCTCAGTGAAATAGGCCCATCACAAAAGGACCACTACTGTGTGAATCCACTTACATGAAGGACCCAGAATTAGTCGAATTCATAGAGATGGAAAGTAGAGTGGTGGGTGCCAGGCTGTGGGAGGCAGACTGGGGAGGGAGTGTTTAATGGGAACAGAGTTGGAGCTTTGCAAGATAGAAAGGTTCTGGAGATGGATGATGGTGATGGTTGCACAACCATGTAGACTTTACACTGGATCATAACACTAAGAAATGCAGAAGACGGGAAGTTTTATGTTATAGGTTTTTTACTACAATTAAAAATAAAATAAGATAAATATGAATCAGATCCTGTCATTCCCAGCATAAAACGCTTCAATGTTTTTCTCCTGCATTTAGGATCGAGTCCTGGCTCGCCAGGCCCTGTGGGTCCCCTGGTGCCCCCCATACCACACTCCCCGCTGAGCTCCATCTTCCAGCCACCTGGGTTTCCTCCAGGACCCTTAAGCATGACCAGCAGGCCCACCCCGCTTTGCAGCCATGGCTTCCCCATGCCTGTCGCTCTGCCCTGACTGTCCCCTGTCACCCCCATCCACTCCCTGCCTCAGAAGAGGCTCTCCCCACCCCCCAGTGTCCCACAGCCCCATGAGCTTCAGTGCTACAACCCCACCACCTGTGTTGCCTATAATGCCATGGCTCCTGGAAATTCAGCTGACATTTCTGTCTGCACCTCGACTGGAACAGAACCCACTCCATGTGGACAGGCACATCAGCACCTGTGGCAGAAGCCTCTGTCCCTGCTCCTGAGGCTTGGGAAGAACACATTCTGCTCTCTGCCAGGTGCCTCTGGCATGACAAGGGATCAGCCACAGACTTTTGAAGGGCTGCCCACCAGGTCGACTCAGGCCTCTTAACACCCTGCAATGATCTCCACCCTCTGGTTCAATACCCAGGGAACCAGGCCAATGCCCAGGCCAGCACAGGCAGAAACAGGGATAAAGAGACCAGTGCACCCCCCTGGGACTGGGCCCTGGACCTGGCTGGGTCCCAACAAACCATCAGTTGCCACTCAAACCTGGTATTTCAGGCAGTGCTATTTTTATTCAAACTGGTCCAAAAATGCAAGCCAAGTGTTCCACCTGGTGGTCACCCAAAAAAGCAACAGGGAGTAAGTGGCTTTTCAGAACTAGCTGAAAAGAGATACGTTACTATCATGGGGTACGTAGAAAAAGCATGTGCTGGAGGGGAATTCTAGATCTAACTCTGACTTTATTAAGAATTTGAGCTAGTACACCCCTCCTTGGAACATACATCTCACCCAAAAAATGCAGCCCCCTGTAATTATTCATATCTATCCCTCTGGTTGTACTCTGTAACTCCTTGGTTCACTGCTTGCCCCTGACATAATTCCTGGCACACGGCACGTGCTCAATAAATGTCTATTGGAAGAAAGAAGAGGGTCTGCCTGGAGCCAGCTCTTCTGGGCTCTTCCACCTTCAGAGCCCCTCCTAACTGCCCGCCGGTCTGGAGGGGCCGAGGCCCAGGTCGGATCCACTTGGCAGACACATGGCCATCCCGGCTCCAGACAGACCCTCCAGATTTTGTGGCCTTAGGGTAATATCAAAAGCTGCAGCCCCTGGGCCAGCCCCAACTAAATTAAGGGAAGGAGGCTCAAAAGCCTGTGAGCTGACGGGTAACATAGAGTAGACGTGATGATTCAGAGGCTGGTAGCAGAGCTGACTGTACCCAGCATGGACAGCCACCACTGCAGACTGGGGCGTTGCCACCAGCCACAGTCACAATCACTGCAGAGGCCCAGGGGGTGCCAAAGGCTGCTTCCCCACCTTTTTACCAAGCCCTGCTCTCCTTTCTCTGTGTGTCTCTGGAAATATCCCAACAGCATGCAGTGCTTTTTACTCCTTTTTCTTCTCTCCAGCTGCACCAGCATTGCCCCGGCTCAAGCTCCCGTCCTTTCTACCTTGGCTGCTGCAGGGGCTGCTGTTCTGGTCTCCCTGCCTCTGGCCTTACCTCCTCTCCAACCTTCTTGCACATGGCTACTAGAGGGATCATTCCAAAACACAGGTGCAGGAGGGTCCCCTCTTGCCCTCAGCATAAAAAGAGGACTTCAGCCAGGTCTGATCAAGCCAGAGCCATTTGACTGGACCCTCTCTCCTGTTTGCTAATCTGCTGCTCTGCTTAACATGGATGAAATTCATGCTAAGTGCTTGAATTTGGGAGCTAGGTGCTCCCAAAATGTGCCATTGTGTCTTCTGCCTCCGCATATTTGCACATTGTGTGCCCTCTGCCCAAAATGCTTTTCCCTACCTTGACCCCTTAGTGAACTTCCAACTGTTCCTTGGGGTTGACACAGACAATATTGGGAGTGACTGGACACCTTCATCTTCCTTGCCACCCTCCATCACAAAGGCTGGAAAGCAAACCATTCACAGTCCCAGCCTCCTTTGCACATAGGAGTGGCCATGTGAGAGACATTGCCTGACACTAGCCCTTCCCCCACTTCTTCCTGTTTCAAGCCCAGACGTGATGCCTGGTGCTGCTGCAGCCATCATATGACCATATGGCAACAAGCGCCACACCAAGCATGGTTGAGTGGAAAGACGAACAGTGCCTGGATGCTTGATGAAGTGGTTCAGCTGCTGGGCCAACCCTGAGCAGCCAACCTCTGGAATTCTTGTGAGATAATTAAATGTTATTAAAACTGAAAGCACTGCTGGCCAAGTTTTCTATTACCTGCAGACAAAATCACTCCTGATTGACACTGGGCCTCACCTCAAGCACCACCTACTCATTGAAGTCCCTCCCTGGATCCCTGCTCCTAATCCACCTTGTACATACCCCTATCTCAGCACCCACCATACACATTATATTACACTTTTTCTTTGTCTCCCTACCCCACTACACTGTGACTTTTTTGAGGAAAGAGTCTTCTCAACTCTGATCGTTACTTCCCAGTCCAGCCCCCAGCCCATGGCAGGTCCTCAGAAGGTGGATTCGTAACATACAGGTCTACCTTCCAGCCTCATTTTCTAACCTTGTGCTTAAAGTATTTTTATTACCAACTGCCTCCATTCCTATTTGAAAAAGGCAAGGAACATAGATTAATTGATTTAAAAATAATAATAACAACATGATGCAGATTACCGAAATATTGCAGAGGAACAAAAAGGCTGCAATATTCCTCAAGACTCTTCTCCGGGCATTGCCCTGCCAGAAACAGGGACAGCAGGCTGGGCCCGGGGCCCCTTCCCAGATGCTCCCCTCCTCTTCTTGGCCACAGCCTCCTCTCAGACACATCCTTCCACTGACAACATGTGGCATGTCCTCGCTCTGGGTTGCCACGTCCCCGGGCACAGCTCTGCTCTTGAGGCAGGAGGAAGCAAAAGATGTGGGGTGGCCATTGCAGACCGTGACCACCCGAAGCATTCGGATGTCCTCGGAGAGCTTCTCTGGCTCTCGGTGAACAGACTCGATGATGAAGAGGTTCTGGATGTATTTCTCAGCAATCACCAGGATGGAGTAGGGCAGGTTGTACCAGGTGAATGGGGGGTGAGTCTCAGCACAGAGGACGGCCAAGATCGAGCCCCAGGAGATAAGCCAGGAGCCTGAGGCCGTGCTCACCAAGAGGTCCACGTCCAGTTTGCGGGCCGGATTTTTGGACTCATCCAGGGCCTTCTTGTCAATCCTGTAAATCCAGATTCCCACGAGCCCCGCGGCTGCCATGAGCATCAGCAGGGTGATGGCATACAGGTAGAACATGGTGAGCACGGACTCGCTCTTGTTTTTGGAGCGCCCGATCCGAATCAGGTACACCACCATCACCCCGATCGTGGCAGCCAGCACGGTCAGGCCCAGGCCCACGCCCACCATGGCCCCATTCAACTTGAACTGCATCTTCTGATGCTGGTGGCTGTCCACCTGGCGCCCAATGTTTTTCCACAGGACGTAGAGCATCATGGAGGCCAGGATCTGGTACTCTATGTTGAAGGGGTAGAGGTAGTAGATGCCTTGGGAGATGGCAGAGCAGAGCACCGGGGGTGAGCAGTTACACTGCGGGGTGTGGTCGTCCAAAACTGGGGGAGGCAGCAGAGCACACAGGAGGGCGGTTAGCGGGTGCAGGGGAAAGAGAAAAGCACAGAGAAGTGTTTCCACAGCACGTTCGTGCTTGGGCTTTCCCACTCGATCAAAAGCTTTATTCAAGTCTTATTGTCATGTTCAATAACATGACTAAATTGATAGGTTGCCATGAATATCCCTACAAGAGCATTAATTACATACATCATATTTTTTGGCAGGTTGCCAAAGAGGATAGACACTGTGATGCCGTTTTTGTAAAATATCGATATGTAGATGATAGGCAGATGTATAGACAGACAAGCAGACAGAGAAAAAATCCGGAAGGACATAAACTAAAATGTTAGCAACAGTCATCTCTGGGTGGAAAATGACAGGTGGCTTTTATTTTCATCTAGATTTTGCTTTCTTGTGTTTTGTAAATTTTCTCTGTGTATGTAATTTATGGGTGTGATTTTTTAAATTATTTAAAAAAATACTTTGTGGGGAAAATGCCCTTTTAATTAGCAAAGATTTCCCTCTTAGACTTTCAGTGCTAGCAAGTGCGGCTGGAGACAAACACTCAAACACCAGTGGCAGGAGTGCGGGTCGGCACCGCCTCCTGGAAGAGAGCTGAGCGGCAGCCCAGAGGACGTTTCGTGACAGGGAGGAAAACTGCTGTACATAAATAATGGAATATGTAACTAAGCCTTAAAGCTGATGTAGACGTAGTCTTTTATCCATAATTCCAATCTACTCTCTAAGGGACAAGTAAAAGATGTAATCACAGCATTAGGTAAAATTGTGTGTGTGTGTGTGTGTGTGTGTGTGTGTGTGTGTGTGTGTGTGTGTGTGTGAGAGAGAGAGAGACAGAGAGAGACAGAGAGAGACAGAGAGAGAGACAGAGAGAGAGAGAGAGGAGAGAGAGAAAAACACCTCAGTGTCCAACAATTTAGAAAGCACTAATATTTTTTAACATAATTGATTTGCAATGGAATAGAATGGATAGAATAAAATGGAACCAAATACAATAGACATGTGACAGTGTCTCTGATAGAGGAGGATTAAGCACTATTTCATGACATATGCATGCACACACATGGGGAAGTGTGTGTTTGGGTTGCAATGTAAAATCTCTCTTATTGTAGATCGCAGTCAAAAAAAGGTTGAATAGGGGCTGGCTTGTTAGCTCACTCAGTAGTGTGTGGTGCTGATAACACCAACGTCAAAGGTTTGGATCCCCATACCAGCCAGCCACCATATATATATTTTTTTTTGAAGTTTTAATATATTTAATATTTGCAATATGAAATCAACTATGAATAAATAAATAGCACATTACAAAGAAATAACCAAATGTTAACAGCATTTACTGCATGTCTGGGTAGGTGTTATTGTGGATTGATTTCTTTACCTGCCATTGTTTTAATTTATGATATGTAATACCACTTATAAAATCAAATGGAAAAGCTTTATAATGACATTTATTACCCTCACTTTTGAAGAACACTATGCAATTTTCAATTCACCAGGAGTTTTCCCACCACTCTTAACTCAGCACAATATTATGCAGAAGAAGGGGAAGAAATCAGGAGGAAAGGCTCAGACTAACAGAACGTTAGAGCTGACAGAGTTCTTTTTTAGTAAATTGATCTAATCTCATCTTTCACAGAGGGCCTTGGAGCCAATTGTTAGGATTCTAATCCTGGCTCAGTGCCGTATTCACTGTGTGACCTTGGGCTAATTATTTAACTTCTCTGTGGCTCAACAGTTCTATCCACATAATGAGGTTAATACTGCCGATCTCAGAGTGCTGGAGCAAGAATCAAACGAGCCATGGAAAGTGCCTAGAACAGTGCCAGGCAAATGCTTAATAAAATTTGCTTTTGTTAATGTTGTCATTGCAGTATTGTTACTATTATTGAAACCAAGGGAGAAGTGAGGCCAAAGAGAACAAAGGTCCCTCCCAGGGAGTGGGCTGCGAGTTGGGGGTGGTGAAGAAATGCAGCCTGTGCCCGGGTTTTGTCATCCCCACCCCACTGGTGAGGAGACGGGTTTATAGTGGCTCTCCAGGACTGGCCTGGGGTTGCACAGCTAGCATAGACCTGTGGCACACTAAATCCTGAAGGGATCCTTGCAAGTACACGGTTCAGGAGCCCTCACCTTACAAATGAGAAAAGGGAGGCTCAGAGAGGTTGACTGGCTTCCAAAGGTCACACAGCTAGTGGGCAACGGGAACAAGACCAGATCCGAGACGCACAGTTCCCGGCACATTGTGCTCTCCTCTCCCCCAACCCTCAACCCGAACGTCGTAACATAGATGTGATATATCATAAATGCTAAAGAATTGTGGAAGAAAATATAAAGATTCATGCTGCAGGTTCTCAAACAGGAGCAAGGGGGACTAAAGATGGGCCAAAATTATAAGCCAAGTACACTTCAAAAAAACCTCAGATGAGCTACAACCAATTAAACACAACCTACTATTAGGCTTCTTTGGATTTTAAAGCTATACTTTTAGGAGAAAGACCTGGTAATAGAGGCTTAATTAAAAACACAAATAGAAACAACCACCAATCTTTTGTAGTTGAAAACAAAGACACTTATTTCTATAGCAAACTGGACCATGAGAAATGGTAATCAGGATGATAATTCGGGTCTTCCAAGTCCCTGAGTCATGAAATAAACCTTTAATTACACTCAGCACAGCTTACTTGTGGAGGCAGTATGAGAGACATAGGTTTTGTAAGGTTTTCAACAACAGAGGATTGCAGCTGCTTCTGAGTCGGGGGACCCTGCAGCTCTTTGGAATCTGCTCCCCATCTCTGAACATTCTGGCCTCTGCAGGTTTCCCAGCTGTTCCAACATGGCACAAGGGCACCTCTCCCCACTCACCTATTGTTATGTTCACAAAACCCAGAGTGATGAGTCGTTCCTTGTGCTCATTAAGTTGATGCTTTGACTCATTCAGGACACTGTTGGCCCACAGAAGCAGGTTGGTGAACACTGAGTGGATCAGCCCAAACCTGAAAAACACAAAGACTCAGTTCCTGAGCAACTCTGGGAAAGCTCCAAGCCCCATGGAGACAGACATTACACACACACACACACACACACACACACACACACACACACACACCTCTTTCTCAGCCATGATTCTGGTTTCACCTGGCAGCTCGGGCTCTGGGTGGGTCCGCTGTCTGGCTGGGAGGGGCAGTTCCATGGGACCTTCCAAAACCAGAGTGTCTTGGCATTCTGCCTTAACCTTGAACTTGCCAGTACTCAACTCATTGTCTACAGGACATCAAAGAAGCTGTGTCTTAGAAGTACAGTTCCAGAGATGAAAATTTACTAAAAGCAGGCAAAGAACCCCATATCCCAAACTCTTTGCAGAGGAAAGAAGAGAGGATAGAACAGTATGGGATAGAACAATACGGGAAAGGGTAGAACAACACAGGAAATCTGCAGAGTGGGTACACCCTGTCTGTTGGTTGGTCAACCCAACAATCATTATCCACCCCTCTCTGCCTTCCCACCTACCTCTAAAGACACTGAAACAAGCCAGAGACTCCCCTGAAGCAAGGCATAGCCATTTTGGCCAGTAAGATGTGAGGTGCAGTCTATTAGGCACTACTGAAAACTTTTGCTTTCTTGATGAAAGAGATAAGAATGAGAAAAGTTTGCTTACAGTCCCTTTCCCCTTTTTTTTCCAGACTAGAATGTAGACATGAAGGCTGGAGTTGTGGCAGCCATGTTATGACCATGAGGCAACCCCAACCTACTGAAGATGGCAGAGTGAAAACCTGGAAAGAGCCTGCCCTATGATAACATTGTTGAGCTGCTGGAGCCTCAGATAGATTCAGGAATTAGCCCATGGCCACACATAGAGTAAAATAGCTGCACTGAGGTTTGAAGACTCAGTAAGCAGCAGAGCTGTTCTGGTCTGACTCCAGAGTCCTGTCCTTGCCTCTATGCCACACTGCATAAGAAAGATGACAGAAAGGGGGATAAAGTGGAAGGTGGACACTGGACTCTGGGTAACAGATGAAAAGTCAGTGGAGAATGTGGTTCCTATAAGGTCCCTGATTACTTCAAATTCTCCAAAGTCTTCCACACCTGCAGGTTTAAGGTGTATTAACACCAGGAGCTTCTGGGGTACTTGGCAATGTGCCTTGCAGATAGCAGGTGCAGCAAATACTGGCGATTTGAGAGAGGCATTCCTTAAAACATTCCATGTAACTAACCACTCTTAAATTGGACAGCAGAAACTCAGAGGAAGCATGCTCTTTCCCTGTCTAACCAAGAGACCAGTTGTCCTGATCTGCCTACAGGGAGAATGGTACAATTGTGTCTTCAACCCTGATCCTGCCTCTCCTCTGAGTTTTAACTCCAGCTGATCCCTCTGGGTCTCCCACGAGCACTGCAGGCCAAACCTATCCTCATTTGAACCCTAGCTTCCTTTGGAGTTGCATAATGTCCAGGCACAAATGGAGAAGGAAACAGAATCCCAGGGGTGTCTGAGACAGGTGTTTGCCCATCTGCTTGCCCCTCTTGCTTGCCCAGTTGCTATAGATCCTGGCCAGCCTTCACCAAGGCGTCTGGGCAGCACTCTATAGACCTTTTGACAAATGCAGACAATACTGTTTGCCTCAGACAGGCTGGCTTTTCTTTTACTCATAATGCACACAGCTCTCCTTTCTTCTCCCCTTTTTCCTGATCCACGTGGCATTGTTCAATCCCAGGCCTAATGAACTTAAGGAGGTAGCACGAATGCTGCTCACAGCTGCAAATTGTTCTGCCATGTGAGCTCCCTGCAAGCTGGCAGCTCCTGTTGGCTTGATCCGGGAAAGGTCCTACAAACTGAGGGCAGAAGTCATTTCCCCATGCCAGGCTGCCTTTCTCACACTTGGATAACCCCAGACTACAATAGAGGGAAGGCTTTCATGAGCCATTTCCAATCTCCATTTATGTTTCCAGCTCTGCTTTTAGAACTGCTGTTCCTCTAAACCTCAACTTTGGGAAAAGAAAAGGACACAAGCTAGCAAGGGGAATTCTGAACTCAGGAGAAAACTTCCTGCATGTACTGAAAGTGTGGTATAGCAGAATATTGGCTCAAAAGACCAAAAGAAAACAGTGAGTCCAGGGGTGGCAAGTTCAGAAGCCTTTGGGGCCTAGCAGGAAATGTCAATGAATAAAAGTAGGTCTGGGGTGACATTAGGGAATAGTGGGGACTGGTAAACTGAGGGGACAGCCCTATCTAGGGGGGGTAAACGTGGCTCAGCTCTATCCCTTTGCTGCCATGCTATTTGGAATGGCCAAATCTTCCATTAGACAAGTGTAAATCTAAAATCTAAAAGTGGTAAGTCATTTAAAAATGTTTAACACTTTGCCCTAGAAACAAAATAAGATAAATGAAGCTAAATCCATATCTGGCTCAAACCACTCTCCAGTTTAGAGAGAGGCCCAGAGCAGGGACAGACTTGTCTCTAATCACTCAACAAGCAAGGCCAAGACAGGACGAGGTCCCAGTCCCACTGAGTTCCCTCAGATGAAAGTTGCTGGTGGTAAATGTCCAGGTACATGTCCCAGAGCAGTGCTGCCCCATGATAAGACAATACAGGACACGGATGGGAGCCACATGTGTACTTTTAAATTTTCTAGTAGCTCCATTTAACAAACAGTAAAAAGGAACAGATGAAAATAAGTTTTATAATATTTTGTTAAACCCTGTATATCTAATATCATGTCAACGTAGAATTAATACCAAAATAATTATTATTGAGATATTTTACATTCTGCTTTTCATTCTAGTTCTGAAATCTGGTGTGTACATTACACTCACAACACATGGCAGTCTGAACTAGCACAATTCAGAGCTCAGAAGGCACACGTGGCTGGCGGCTGCTGCACTGGACAGTGCAGACTTTGAAGACAAGACCAAAGACTCTTCTGCTTGGAGGAAAATGGGCCCAAATGTCCTGTGGCTGTGATTAAATAAGCGATTGAGCAAAGAAGAAGACTTCACCTGGCCAACCCAGCTGGCCACTTCAATCACCGTCAACACTCAGGTCCCACAAAGCTTTGCACAAGCAAGGTTCCTGACCTTGGACATTTGCTTCATTTCTCTGAGCCTCAGTTTCCTCATCTGCTAAATGGCGATCATGATCATGTCTGTTGTCCCTAATTGACAGAGCTATTGTGAGAGAAGACCCCATAAGTAACACATGTAAAAGAAGGTGCTTTATAAACAGGAGAGTTAATACGATTCAGCCAGGAGTTCCTGGGTACAGACGGCTGCTCAACATGCACTTGCTGAGAACAGCTCAAACTTTATCCCAGTAACTCTACTTCCAGGGATTTAACCCAAGAAAATAATCAGAGATGTTCAAAAATATTTTTGACTGAAGATGTTTGTCACCGTACTATTCATAACAACAACAAAAACTTTCAGATTCTTTACGTGTCTAACAACAGGTGTTATGGACAGAATTTTGTCCTTGCCACATCCCCTCCCTAAAATTCATATGTTGAAACCCTAATTTCCAATGTAACTATTTGGAGATTGGGCCTTTAAGGGGGTAATTAAGGTTAAACGAGGTCATAATGTGACCTAGTTTCTTTACAAGAAAGAAAGAAAGAACTAGTATCTTTACAAGAAGTGAAAGAGATCTCTCTCTCTCTCTCTCTCTCTCTCCCCCCCCCCCCCATGTGAAGACACAGCAAGAAGGTGGCCGTCTGCCAGCCAAAAGAGAGCCCTCACCAGACACCAACCTTGCTGCTATTTTGATCTTGGACTTAGAGCCAAGATCTTCTCTTCAAGAGAGAGATCTCTGGTGTCTTTTCCTTTTCTTATAAAGGCACTAATCTCACTACGAGGACCCCACCCTCATGACCTCTAAACCTAAACACTTCCCAAAGGCCTCACCTCCAAATGCCATCTCATCAATGATTAGGGCTTCAACATGTGAATTGGGGGGGGGGGGGGGGACACAAGCATTCAGTCCATAACAGTGGCATCATGGTGATTCTTAAGTCCTGTTGTATCCTTATAAGTTATGTCAGGAAACAAAGTATAATTTTTAAAGAATTTTGTGGAGCAGATGAAATAAAGCCTGTGACTAGGACAAAACCAGCAGGTGGAGGGGCTTCTCATATTAGTAAACCCAGGGTTAAAGATCACCATCAAGGCCACCACTTGGGGCTGCACAGGGGATAACACAGGCTGCCCCGTGCCAGCTCCAGGATGCAACTCACACAGCCCAGGTCACCTCGTCACTTCACATCCCCAGCAGTGCCAGACACAGCAGGAGTTCAAAAGACGTTTAAATGCTTGTTGGTGCTGATCCTTTTCACATTATAAGGTTGGTGAAATCTATCTCTATTTCAATAGTCCATTGAAATAGTTCCATCCAGTGGTCCTACATAAATCAATCTTTTAGATATCAGTTGTCATCTTAAATGGTACTAGGGGAGTTTTCTGTTCCTTATTGAGAGTTTATATGATAAGGGATCTTTCCAATAAAGATCCCTTGATTCATCTGTCTGCGTGCACATAGAGCTTTCTTACATTGTAGTAATAATTGCATTTAGGTAACTCACCCGGTTACCCTACTTCCTTTTGATCCTCACAATCACCTCCAGAGAGAGGTGGACACAGATGACAAAAGACACATCACTTCTGAGTGTTTGCTCTGTGCCAGGCACAATCTGCGTGCTTTATGTCAATCACCTCATCCAGTCCTCAGAGGTTGGCTGTGTCCATTTTACAGATGAGGAAACTGAGGGTCATAAAGAGGAAGTGTCCAAGATAGCAGAGTCAAAATTCAAATCCACACTATCCTATTTTCAGGGCTGTCGCCAGGAAGGGGCTTGAGGTGGAGGGCCTCCTCCCCCAGCCACCAGTGAGGGCCCTGCTTTTCAGAACTGAGCAGAGAGTTGGTCTCAGTTTTCATGAACCAAGCAAGACGGCGGTGATGAGTATCATTTGTTCTAAATGAATGCCAAATTCAACAGGTAAAGCAAATACCCACAATTCTTACCTTTCCAGTGTTTTGAAAGACTGGATAATATCCTTTGCATGCCCCCAAAGAAAATATACCTAGATGGAAATAAAGGAAGCGAAGAAAAATGCATCATTGGGGAAAACATCATTGCATTTGCAAATTTGAGAAGCTATAAAAGTTACAGAAAACGTGAGAAAGAATGCTGAGGATGTCAGTGTCCTCCCACCCCTAGACAGGCAAGTGACTATCTTCATCTCAGGTGACAGTGCCATATCCCAGCGGGGACAGCAATTTAGGAGCATGTGGTGAGAAGTCAGGTGAGGACCCACAGTTCAGGAGGAAGTGGTGCTGTGATTGATTGAGGATGTCTGCTGCGGGAAAGGGTGCTGTAATTGATTGAGGATGTCTGCTGTGGGAAGGGGCACAGGTGTGACAACCTGCCCATCATGAAACCCTGTCACCTGTTTATATTACACATATCAAGTTTCATCCAAAAAATATCGATCGATACTCTGTGCCAGTGTTACTTTGTGTCAGTGTTACTCTGCACCAGTGTTATTCTGCGGCAGTGCTCAGAAGCCAAATGTTGAGTACTTTAAATAAAGAACAGAATTGACGCAGGCTGGACTTTCATTTCACTCTATTACCCTCTGTTACATATGCTACCCAGTCCCCTGGCCATGCAGTCACCGGCAGCATTACAGGGAAGGGGTTGAGAGTATAGATGCTGGTATCAGACCTGTGTGCAAATCCTGACTCCCTCCTTGCCTGGTCATGAGGCCTTGGGCAAGTCAGGGGCCCTTTCTGCATCTGCGTTCCCATCAACGAGACTAGACACAGAGAATAAGGGAACTTACCTGGAGGACTCTGTGAGCAATTAAATGAGGTAATCCATGACATTGCTGAGAACAGCAACTGCAGCATGTATGTTTTCTTTCTTTTTTTTTTTCTTTTTGTCTTTTTTCGTGACCGGCAACGGGATCGCAACCCTCGGTGTCGCGCCCGCACCGCGCTCAACCAGTGAGCAGACCGGTCTCTATATGGGATCCGAACCCTCGGCGGGAGCGCCGCCACGCTCCCAAGCGCCGCACTCTACCGAGTGCGCCACCAGGCCGGCCCAGCATGTATGTTTTCAATAAGTGTTTTCCACTGTCAACTCGCTCATTCCTTCACATTGATGGCTACTTCTAGGTACTAGGCATTATTTGAGCTTCTAAAATATTTTGGGCCTTACTTTAGAGACAAACACATATTGAGCACTTGCTACTTGCCCAAACACTTCTGGGCACTTCATGAGTTTGTCTCATTTAATCTTCATTTTGCAATTAAGAGCTATAAAAAGACAGTCAGCATAAAATAAAATACTCTTACACATATTCCTTTTCCCCATTGTTTTACCTAGTATTTACCGTCATGATCAGAAAACCACTTTCAGGGCATAACTTTCTTAAAATATCCAACAATTTAAAAAACAGACAGTAGCAACTCCTGACAGCAGGCAAAAGTGACATTCAGCCCAACAACAGGGAAACTGTTAAGTAAATTAGTACTTACCGATGAATTCTAAATTAGACACCCATTTAATTCATGCTCTTTATAAAGACTACATAGCAGCACAAGAAAGTTTAAGATTTTTTAAGTGAAAAGCTTGGAATAGAAAATTCTGCATCCTAGAGGCTGGCCCGTGGCTCATTTGAGAGAATGTGGTGCTGACACCACCAAGTCAAGGGTTAAGATCCCCTTACCAGTCATCTTTAAAAAAAAAAAAAAAGGAAAGAAAGAAAATTCTGCACCCTCTATGTAAAACTCTGACAAGAACTTACACTTTAAGTACAAGGAATTAAGGGAATACAGAAAAAAATAATAATTTTAAAAATGCTGGGTTCAGTTGATGGGCATACAGATGCATTTTTATTCTCTTTTCCAACTTTTTCAGTTAATGTTATACAAAATGTGGTATAGTCATACAATGGAAATTTATTCAGCCTTAAAAAGGAAGGAAATTACCACACATGCTACCACATGGGTGCATCTGAAGGACATTATGCTGAGCAAAATGAGCCAGTCCCCAAAAGACAAATACCGCATGACTTCATTTACATGAGGCATCTAGAATACTCAAACTCACGGAGACAGAAAATAGAATGGTGGCTTCCATGGGCTGGGGGAGAAGAAATGGAGAGCTGTGTGTAATGGGTACAGAGTTTCAGGTTTGCAAGATGAAAAAGTTGCAGGTAACCGCACAACAATGTGAATGTGCTTTACTGAACTGCACACTTACAATGGCTAGATGGTAAATTTTATATGTACTTACCACAACTTTTAACCAACTAAATAAATATTTTGTGTTTTAGAACAGAATCTGAAATGCTGGGTTTTGGGGGGAGGTTTTTTAAATAATTTTTCCCATTCTCTGGTCATCTAATGTAGCAAAGGCACATAGTAAGTGTCCAACAGGCATAGAATGATTGACTGACTGATAAAATGCCTTCAATTAGGAAGATAGAGGTCTCCCACCCACCAAGTAACAGAGTAATATTTTGCGAATTTACTTTTGTCCAGGTCATCCCTCTGCCTAAAGCCTTCAATCGCTCCCCATCGCCCTCAAGATGAAGCCCAAGCTCCTAACTGACGGTGCATGCTCACTGCATGCTTAGCCCTGAGCAGAGTTCTCCATGCACCATCACCTTCAATCCTCAGAACAAGCTATGAAGTAGGTCTGTGATTGTCTCCACTTTACACATAAGACCCATGAGGCCCAGAGATATTAAGTAATTTGCCTAAGGTCACACTGCTGGTTAGAGCCAGAGCCAGACAGTCTGACCAAAATCCAAGCTTACAAGCCCTACACCACACCATGACTCCATCCTGTGTCCACTACCCCTCACCTTCCCCGGCAGCCCACAATCCTCCCCTACCCCATCATGTGGAAAGACCTGATGTCCCAAAGATGTCCTCTTCCAAGGGCCTCAGACCTCCACCCCTGTGCTCTTCCATCTTTTACTGCCAGCTCTTAGAAACGTCCCTGGCAGAAACCACTCTTCACCCCAAGGGAGCAAGATGCCCTCCTTTGGGCTCTGGGCCATTTTGGTCAAAGCACTGAGCCCAATTGTTGTCACCGCCTGTTTTTGTGTATGTCTCCTAACTGACTGGCACCTCCATAGGGCACAGGCCATGGCATTCACCCTTGTGTTTCCAGTACTGACAACACTGTTTGCCTGGTACTTAAAAAAGAACCGAGTCAATGAATGAATGAAGTTCTTTCTCGTCTCACTAAGGCTTCCCACGTTGTCACTGGCGTCACTATAAGACTGTTATCATGGGATTTGGATGCCCTGGAATCAATAGCCAGTTAGCACTTGTATTAGTCTGCTAGCTTTGCCATGACAAAGTATCACAGACTGGGCAGCTTAAATAACAGATATTTATCTTCCCACAGTCCTGGAGGCCAGAAGTCCATGATCAAGGTGTCGTCAGGGTTGTTCCTTCTGAGGCCTCTCTCCTTGGCTTGCAGATGGCCATCTTCTCCCTGTGTCTTCACATGGTCGTCCCTTTGCGTCTGCATCCTAATCTCTTCTTCTTATAAGGACACTAGGCATACTGGATTAGGGGCCATCCTGATGACCTCACTTAATCTGAATTCCCTCTCCAGAAAGTCTCTCCAAATACAGTCACATTCTGAGGTCCTGAGGATTAGGATTTCAACATATGAATTCGGGAGGGGACACAATTCAGCCCCCAGCAACTCTCAAATGCAAGACAGCCCCTTCAAATTCGTCTTCCATAAGTTCCCAGCCTATTCCGCCATTCTACCCCTGAGTTAAGCTGCTTCTGAGCACGTTCGGCACACCCTCTCAGCTTGCCTCACTGTCTGAGAACGCGTGTATCTCGAGGAACGTTCTGAGGTCATCTGGAGCTGCCTGGTAAGTCAACAGGGTGTGCAAGCTGGAGATCACTTTGAGTAAAAGACAGAGTTTTTAAACTGGCATCACTGACTTTCTGGAAGTGGAAAATTGTTTCTGAAGAACACTCTCAAACTGGAAATCCAGAATATTTTGAGCAATGGCAGTACCACAGGAGCAAGTTCATGGTCTTCCAGGGGGACTCGTGAGGAGGCAAAGTTGTGTCTCAGCCATGACTTTGAGCAAGTCGACAGCCTACTCCAGGCTCCAACTTCTTCCTTAGAAAAAAGTGAGGGTGGACCTGGCCATTAACGACCACGTGGATGAACCTGGAGGACATTGTGCTAAGTGAAATAAGCCAGGCACAGAAAGAGAAATAGTGCATGATCTCTCTAATATGTGTAATCTAAAATAAAATAAAACAATAACAAATAAATAGAAACAGAGAGCAGAACCGTGGCTGGTAGGGGAGGAAATGGGAAGATGGGGACAAAGGGGACAAAGTTACGGATATATAAGTTGAATAAGTCCAGAGATGTAATGTACAGCAGGAGGACTAGAGTTAATAGTACTGTACCATGTACCGGAAATGTGCTAAAAGAGTAGATTTTAGGTCCTCTTACCACAAAAAAGAAAGGTGACTGTGAGATGACAGATGTGTTAATTTGCTTGACTGTAGTGGCCATTTCATTGTGTATATGTACATCAGAACATCACGTTGTACAACTTAACTATACACAATACACCAGAATATTGTTTAAAATTAAAAATATATGTACAAGAGTACATCAAAACGTTTGTAGAAAAATTCATGTATATGTAGTGTGTATGTATATACATACATATACACAATAAAAGAAAAAAGAAAATATGAGGGTGTCATGACCCAGCATCCCATTCAGTGGAGTCAGTGGAAGGATTACACAGACAGATAAATGAAAAGTACTTTGCATACCCTAAAGCACTACAGAAATATTGATGATTACTTTTATTATTAGCGTAACAGGGGTCCTAACTCTCACAGCCAGTACCAGGGATTTCTGCCAAGGGTGGACACTACACTGGAGGCCCATCTGAGATTCTTTTCAACCACGAGATTTCTCTGACTCTATGCTCTATATTTAAATTATATCTACTAAATCCTCACTTCTTAGCCACACCAAGTTCACCAATGCTGAGACAAACGCCCTCATACATTTCTAAAAGACTTTCATCCACAAGTGGGCTAAGAAAAAAATGTTTCAATGACCTAGAGGAGTGACTGTAATGGCACAGGGTTTCTTTTGGGGGTGATAAAAATGTCCTAAAATTGATTGTGGTGATGATCGCACAACTCTATGAATATACTAAATCTTTGAGTTATATACTATAAATGGATGAATTGTGTGGTATGTGAGTTCTATCTCAATAAAGCTGTTATATGCCCAGAAAATAAAATCCCCCAAGCCTTTTCTGGTGGACTCTGGCTTGGCAGAATTTCCTGACTCTTCATCACTGCAAGTTCTGCCTCTACAGATCCCTATAATGATGGCCAAGGAAACACCAAGTCCTGTTTTATGGTAGAGGCAGCTGAAGAACTGAGCCTCAGAGATGTATTCAAGTTCCCTTGGCACTTGCTGGGCAGTCCACAGCCGCTCACACTGCGCCCCCTGCTAGATACCTTGATGCAGGTTTTCATACACCCTGGGATACACTTCACAAGAATAAGACGGCATAAATAAACATCAGTGGTTTACCTGCAACAGAGTGTGTACCGCGTGTGTGACAGGGAAAACTCCTTCGGTGGCTGGCAAACATTCCGAAAATCCAATAAAGTGTCCAATTTTAAGGCATCCCAGGATGATGGTAAGGACAGCAAATAATGTGATACTACCTAAATTGGGGGGAAAGGAGGTAAGAAACACACACATATATGTGTTAATATGCACTGATGTCATTTCAAAATAAATTATAATAAACCCTCACACATATGGTAAAATTATTTTGAAAAAGGTGCCAACCATTGTGTAATGAAAGGATGGTCTTTTCAACAAACGATATAGGGAAAACTGAATATTTGCATGCAGAAGAATGAAGTTGGACCCTCACCTTACACCCTTACCCTATACCATATACAAAAATTAATTCAAAATGAATCAATGAAAAAGGAAAAAAAAAAAAAAGGGCCAGCCTGGTGGCGCACTGGAGAGTGCACCGCTTGGGAGTGTGGCGGCGCTCCCGCCGAGGGTTCGGATCCCATGTGGAGACCGGTTCCCGCTCACTGGCTGAGCGCGGTGTGGCCACAACACCGAGGGTTGCGATCCCGTTACCGGTCAGTAAAAAAGAAAAAAAAAATGAATCAATGACCTAAATATATAGGCTGAAAATATATAGGGGAAAATCTTCATGACATTGGATTTGGTGGTGATTTCTTGGCTATGACACCAAAAGCACAAGAAACAACAGTAAAAATAGACAAATGAATTACATCAAGACAAGAACATTTTGTGCATCACAGGACACTACCAACAGAAAGACAACCCACAAAATGGGAGAAAATATTTGCAAATTATATATTTGATAAGTTATTAATATTCACAATATATAAAGAACTTCTACAGTTCAACCACAAAAAACAACCTGATTAAAAATGGGCAAAGGACTTGAATAAACATGTCTTCAAAGAAAATATGTAAATGGCCAACAAGTACTCGAAAAGATGCTCAACATCATTAATCACTAGAGAAATGCAAATCAAAACTACGAGATACCGCCTCACACCCATTAGGATGGCTACTATGACAAAAAGAAAGGGGCTGGCCGGATGGCCAGCTGGTTAGAGTGTGGTGCTGAGAACACCAGGGCCCAGGGTTTGGATCCCCATACCAGCAGCCAGCTGCCAAAAAATAAAAATATAAATAAAAAAATTAATTTACTTAAAAAAAAAAATGGGCTGGCCGGTCAGCTCACTTGGTAGAGCATGGTGCTGACAACACCAAGGTCAAGGGTTTGGATCCCTGTATTGGCCAGACACCCCCCCACCCCACAAAAAAAGAAAGAAAGAAAACAGAAAAGAACAAGTGTTGGAAAGGATACAGAGAAACTGGAACTCTTGTGCACTGTTGGGGAGAATGTAAAATGGTGTGGCCATTATGGAAAACAGTGCGGAGTTTCTTCAAAACATTAAAAATACATTACCAAAGGATGAGATCAAAAAAAAGGCAAAAAGAAAATATTATTCCTGCATGATCCAGCAATTCCACAGTAATTCTGGGTATATACTCAAAAGAACTGAAAGCAGAGACACAAAAGGATATTGGTGCACCCCTATTCGTAGCAGCATTATTCACAATAGCCCAAAGGTGGAAGCAAGTCAGGAGTCCATTGACAGATGAATGGACAAATAAGGTTTGGTAAATACATACAACTGAATGTTATCCAGCCTAAAAAAGGAAGAAAATTCTGACACACGATACGGCATGGATAAACCTTGAGGACATTATACTAAGTGAAATAAGCCAGTCACAAAAGGACAATACTGTGTGATTCCATTTATATGAGGTCCCTAGAGTCGTCAAAATCAGAGACAGAAAGTAGAATGGTGGTTGCCAGGGGTGGGGGGAGGGAAAAAATGGCCAGTTAGTGTTTAATGGGGACAGAGTTTCAGTTTTGCAAGATGAAGTGAGACATTGTTTGCAAACAACATAAATATACTTAACACGACTGAACTATACACTTTAAAATGTTTAAATTAGTTACTTTTATGTTATGTATATTTTACCACAATTAAAAATACAAAATATACAGTATTAATAAAGTAAATTCTACTATTGGGCTGATAAGCTGAAACTAGAAGGCAGGTATTGTGTCTTGTTCATCACTGGACCCGCCCCATGCATATCTAGGGTCTACAAATGATATACAGGTTGAATGCCCCTAATGCAAAAATCCCAAATCTGAACTAGTCCAAAATCCAAAACTTTCTGAGTGTCGACATGACGCTTAAAGAAATGCTCATTAAACATTTCAGATTTCAGATTTTTGGATTAGGATGCTCAATCCATATGTATTCTGCAAATATTCCCAAATCTGAAGTAATCCAAAGTCTGAAACACTTCTGATCCCAAGCATTTCAGATAGGAAATACTCAACCTGTATATTTAGCAAAGATTGGTCAAATCAACAGAAGGCCTTGAAAAGTCTTTGAAAAACAATCAATCTAAGAGTGTCACTGTTCTACTAAAAAATCTCAGTTCTCTAATTCTAAAATCCTGCTCTCTAAAGAGTAAGTGTGCAGAGTGCACAGGTATACAGGAGCTCTCTGTACAATCTTTGCAACTTTTCTGTTAATCTAAACCTTTTCTAAAATAGAAAGTTTATTTCTAAAACAGTGATGGGTAGGTGGTCTATAGAAGTGACCTGGAAAGGGACTATGCTGGGAAAAGTGAAGAAAGAAAACATTCTTTTTTTTGGTCAGCTGGCCTTTATGAGGACCCAAATCTTTGACCTTGGTGTTGTAATACTACGCTCTAATCAACTGAGCTAACAAGCCAGCCCAAGGAAGCATTCTTTGATGGTATCCAGCACGGTTTTGACCAAAAAATAAAAACAAACAAAAAGAGTAAAAAGAAATATACAAAATACATTAAAAAGACCTTGTGACAAATAAAGAAATTAGTGAGAAAAATGCTGTGATCCTGGAGACACGATCAATGTCAAAGTTCCTCATTCCTCTCCTGGGCCAACATTGACCTCCATTCACACATTCTCTCCCACAGACAAGGGGAAACTGGATCGCGTGTGACATGCCTTAATGCACCGAGCAGAGAGGAGGGTCTGAGCCATGACAGTGAGCTCTGTTACAGCCCAGCCTGAGAAGCCCCTAGTGAGAAGTAATGCAATCGCCTGGCATGTTTCCACTGCTCAAAGCCTTATAGAAACAGCTCTAAGTCACATTTTTTTAAATCCTAGAAAACCCCCAGTGAAATCAGAAACTTTTTAAGAGTGGAGATTAGATCTCAGTACTTTGAAATGGTTTGGCAAATGTATGGTTTGTTGTGATTACAAAAAGAAATAGCAAAATGAAGCGAGGCAGCCTAGTTGGGTGACAAGAGTACAGGCCTGGAGCCAAGGGGACACAGGCACGGGGGAGCTGTGCCACCAATGGAATATGTGAGTTCCTACAAGTCACTTTCCTGGCCTGAGCCTCAGCATCCCCATCCATAAAACAAGGATGGTCTACAGCACTGGTTTCAAACTTGAGCAGGCATCAGAATCACCTGGAGCACTTGTGCAAAGACAAATTGCTGGGTTCCACCCCCAAGGTTTCTGATTCAGTAGGTCTAGGTGGGGCCCCAAAATTTGCATCTCTAACAAGTTCTCAGGTGGGGCTGATGCTGCTGGTCTGGGACCCCACTATGAGAACCATTGGTCTGGAACATCTCTGTGGTTGACATTTCCAGAGTTCTGTAATAAATACTTCATATTCCTTCTCACACTCTTGAAGTCTTCCCTTCCACCCACGGATTAATTCACCCATATATTTACACAACAAATATCTTGGGGACTCCTACTATGCATGAAGCATTGTACCAGGGGCTCAAGGATAACGAAACAAGATTGCAAAAGAAACGAAAATACACAAGTAAAGTATTGCATAAATCGGGGTGCACACAAAATATAAAGAGATGAGCTGGCACCAGACTTTTCATCTGCAGCGTGGGAAACCAGAAGACAGTGAAAGTGTAGCAACAGTCCACTGCAGAGGGAAGGACTACAGCTCGAAAATCTTATTCCCAGCTAAAATGTGGCCCACTTGTCAGGGCAAAAGACAGAAAGATATATGAAGATATGCAAAAGTGTAATTTATTCAGAACTATCTATTGAGCCCACCTATGAGGCAGGCACTGTTTCAGGCACTGAGGATATAAAAGTCAATAAAATAAACTATCTTCCCTTGGGGAGTTTAACATTCTAATGGGAAAAACAGAAAATAAACAAATAAATAATAAACATATAAAGAATGTCAGGAAGTCCTAAGTGCATGAAGAAAAGTGAAGCTGGGAAGGGGATTGAGGTTGAAGGTGGTCAAAAGAGAGCTCATTGAGGGGGTGATAGTCAAACAGAGAACAGAAGGTGAGAGAAGAATATCATCCTGGGCCGGCCCGGTGGTGCACTGCTACAGTGTGCCGCTTGGGAACGCAGCGGCACTCCCGCCGAGGGTTCGGATCCCACATACAGACCGGTTCCCGCTCACTGGCTGAGCGAGGTGTGGGCGCAACACCAAGGGTTGCGATCCCGTTGCTGGTCCCGGTCCAGTACGGGCGCGACACTGAGGGTTGCGATCCGTTGCCGGACACGAAAAAAGAAGAAAAAAAAAGAAGAAGAATATCATCCACATAACACGTCTGACAAAGGACTTTAGCCAACAACTAGTAACCTAGAAGAAATACACAGACAATGAAGAGGAGAGGAAACAGTAGTGAGCAACAAAGTGGAGAAAATTGGATGGATGGATGGACGGATGGATGGATGGATGGATGGATGGATGGATGGATGGATGGATGGATGGATGGATGGATGGAAGGGTGAGTGGATGGATGGGTGAATGGGTGGGTGGATGGATGGATGGATGGGATGGTTGGATGGATGGGTGGATGGATGATGGACCAGTGGGTGGATGGATGGATGGACCAGTGGGTGGATGGATGGATAGTTGTATGGATGGGATGGTTAGATGAATGTATAGATGGATGGATGGATGAATGGTTGGATGGATGGGTGGATGAATGGATGGATGGATGAATGGATGGATGGATGGTTAGATGGATGTATAGATGGATGGATGGATGGGTGGGTGGATGGTTGGATGGATGGGTGGATGGATGATGGACC